GGTAATTGGATGTCTGATGCCAGATAGAAGACGCGTGCGAGAGAAGAAGGCGGTTCAAGCGATGCCCGGCAAAAAGGAGTGAAAAATCTTCATGGGGGGGGAGGCGCGGCGGCGGCGGCGAGGGGACACGTTCTCTCTTTGTGATCTCCCAGCTTAACGTTGACCTTGCGCTTCTTATCTGTGCTCTGACATCCCATCATCCCTTTGCTTATCTCCTCCCCCCTCACCTCGCCTCACCGCCGATAGTTTTCATCTCTCTTCCACTCATCCCTTCATTTCAAGACCGCCCCCCAAACCCAATCCCGTCCCGCCCGAGCCCGCCGTCCGGCCAAAGGTAATCCTGAGAGATTCTCGCCAGTGATTGGATCGGAATGTGCGAAGACGATTTAGTCTCGTCGCCGGGTGACCTCGCCCGGCCCGCCCGCCCGCCGACGGACTACATTTTGTCGACGCAACGTATTCACGAGTTCCAAAAAAATTGGCTTCGAACGTACGAGCCGAGTTGAACCCCCGACGGGCACTTTTTGTTCTCATATTCAGGTTTCATATTCTCACCCAGCCACAAATGCGTCTTCACCTCGGGTCTGTTTGGGCTTTGCGCTTATCTTCGTTTGACAAGTTCTCTCCGGGCAACTCAGCCGCTATCTGCTCAGTCATATTTTAATTAACGGATGTACATTTCCATGGGCGGCGGTTCCAAGCGGAACACGTTTGCCGCAAACCCGTAATCCGCAAAAAACCTGAATTTGAGTCTGGCGTTGGGACACGCAACAACTGGAATGGATGTCAACTTGCCTCTCGGAGAAGCGCACAGACCCCACCCCCCCCAATCCCCGGTCAGATGAATCATTGATTGCTGACGCCCACGCCGCAACGCCCCTAGCAACGGAGAAAGCATCAAGCGAGCAGCTCATTTCGGAATTCCACAGCGGCTCGGTCGTCGTCGTCGCGGCTTTTCTATCACCGTCCGAGACTTGCGGCGAGCTTAAACCCCCAAACGCCGTTCGTTATATCGCTCAAATTGTGGCACCATACCGTTTAGCGCCAAGCACAATTGAGTTCACCGCAAACGGATGCAAAATTCCGCCTCTGACATCCCAACGCGCACGGACGGGTAGCTAGCACGCTCGCGCGCTCAAGAATTCGGTTCATTTGCGATAAACTCAATGGACACCGAGCCCAAATGATTCAATTACCCTGCTAGCTTGCGCTAGCAAAATGGCTCTGACGCGGTTATTGATTTTATTGATCAAATTGTTTTTTTTTTGTTTTTATTTTTTTTTTTGTTTTTTAATGCTTCGCAGAAACTCATGAACCTCACCCCATCCACCTTGCGCCAATTTGAGCGGCAGCAAAGTTTTTGAGGACGCGGCAATTGGTAGCACGAAGTTCCAAACAATTGGCCCGCCGCGTTTGATTCTTCCCGCAAACTTTTGTGACTGACGCGCCTCCTCGCAGACAGTCATCAGCAATTTGCTGCTAGGAAAACAAAACGTTTATCATCAACGTAATGCGCTAAAATCAGTTCTAACGACTTTTTTTCGGGGGGGCTGGTAGACGACTCCTTTCATATCATGAAAAACAAGCTTCCTTTGAAGCAACAGGACAAAAAAACAAAACAGTTGTTTGGTACCGTTGAATAACAACCATGAGGTTGACGCCTGTTCCGCGTTCTCATTTGAAGGTCGCGTTACCGATTGCCTAAGAACCCCCTTTTTATTTCCCGTTCGGCGTGCGAGGGGAGACAAGTCGATTTTTCTCCAATAAAACTTCCCGTCTCGGCCAACGATGATGAATGCTTGAGGATGAACGCCGTCGGATCGCGACGCACTTTTGGCACTCCCGCCTGCGACTTAATTTGATGTGCGGGGGCGGAGGGGGGTGGGGGGGGGAGTCTGCTCTGCGTGCAGACAGTTACTGATGATACGAGTCAAACAAACTGTGGCTTAATCACTTTCGAAACCGCTCCAAGGGCGACGCGGCGAGAACGCACCGATGCTCCCTGCGCGCGTGCGTGTGTCCAATACCACCCACATTTTTTTTTTTTTTTTTAAGCAATACGAGCCCATGAATACCAACAGTGCAC